TCAAGACAGGTTCCCCTGCCGCAGACAAGTTCCTTTCCACCTAAAGTTGAGAGCAGAACGTTGATCAAGACAGGTTTCCCTGCTGCAGACGAACTCCTCTCAATAAATCTTTGAAAAGAAATCTGATCAAGACAGATTGCTCTGCCGCAGATATAATCTTTAAAGATCAAAGGAGACCCGCAGACGGACTTCTCTTCATTCCATCTTTAGAGAGAAGGTTGATCAAGACGAATTGCCTAGTCGCAGACCTGCTCCTTAAATTTCATCTAATAATTAAAATGAAGGAGAACGCCGTTTAAGACAACTTATACTATCACAGACAAACTTTTTTTTTTTTTTTTTTTTTCTTAAATATATATATAAGCTGCGACATGAAATTACTACTGTGACATTTACTATACTTTATACCATGTCAAATGTTATCGATCTTTCTATGATATGCGTCGAGGAGTGGTGTAATCCTTATCAAGGGATAACATTTCGACATCAAGCCCCGCTTTAGATTCGAGCCTCGCCACATTCTCTCCGATTCCGGCGCTTTAAATACTTTGCAATCTATCAGTATGAACAGGGTGGCCCAACCCTTACTAAATCCGATATGAGTTACCAGCTCACCTTCTTCCCCAGCAAGGTGGACCCAGTAAAAACAATCAAGCTTGGGTGGTAAATCCAAACCCAACATTTTTAGCAGTAACTACCCCGGCCACCATCAAAATTGATGAGCATCTTCCACACCTTCATCCCTTTCAATGATAGTGTAGTCTTCCTTCCTTTAACCACATAGGATCCGGATGACAACATCCTATTATGGACCAGGAGTATAACTCCGGCGCAGGCCTCACTTTCACCTACAGAGCTCACAGTTTTATCGCATTAACACCATGACACGATAAGATCTCAAATACATACATAACTCAATACATGTTTTATAAAAATATATATATGTATTTAACACACATATAAATTTACGAATTACACTTCTATAATTATCACATTCATAAGGCAAATTCGAAACTATCTCGACCAAGAGTCAGGTTGATCTAAAGAAGAGATCGTGTATTCCTGCACTTGTCCATGATGGCAAATACATCAACAAATAATATCGAACATAGTGAAGTTCCACAAACTTAGATAAAATATTTTTGAAATGGCCTCTCTCAAAATCTGTTTAGGAGAGATCGAAACAAAACAAATAATGATCCCACACAAAATTTGTAAAAAAAATTGAATCAGAAATTAAACGACTTATTTTTCGTCGACTTTCGACCCCTTACACCTACTTGGAGTATGCCCGACTCTACCACAACTTTTACACACAATGTTCTTTCAGTACTTTCTCCCTCTCTCCATTCGTCGATGTTCTCGTCCTTGAGATCGCAACTGGCAGGATTCCTCCTTCTGAGCAACTCTCGTAGAGAGTTTATTCATACAGACTTTCTTGTTTTTTCTACTCATGGGAGGCAAATCAATTACTGACTATTTTTTCCTTATCTCACTCATCCTTCCCCTTACTTCTGAGAG